CAGTGGGGTCCCACGGAAGGGGGCAGGTGGATGGTGGCTGGTCCCATTCCCCCCTGGCAGAGCCCAGCACCCAGGGGGCTTTGCCCCGGCTGTTCTCACCCCACAGAGATCGCCCTGTGCCCCAACAACCACGAGGTGCACATCTACCGCAAGGACGGGGCCAAGTGGAGCAAAGTCCACGAGCTGAAGGAGCACAACGGGCAGGTGACAGGTGAGTCCCACCCAATGGAGGGGACGGGGACATGGTCCTGTCCTGGAGATGGTCCCGGCCCCACTTGGTGGTACCGGCAGCTTCTGGATGGGGTTGAGCAGTGGGGGAAGGAGAGGGAGCAGGTTGTGTCTGCGTCTCCTGGCCCCAATCCAGCATGTCAGGAGGCACCCAGGGATGGGATGGATGGGATGGGAGAGGTGGAGAGGGATGGGGTGAGGAGGGATGAGGTGGGATGGATGGATGGATGGATGGAGGGATGGAGGGATGGAGGGGAAGAGATGGATGAACGGATGGCGGGGAAGGGATGGATGGAAGAGATGGGCTGAGATGGGTTGGAATGGAATGAGATGGCACAGGAGATGATGGGGTGGGATGGATGGATGGATGGATGGATGAGAAGGAATGGATAGATGGAAGAGATGGCCATGGCAGGGCCAGGGCAGGGGGGTTGGAACTAGATGATCTTTAAGGTCCCTTCCAAACCAAACCATTCAGTGATTCTATGGGATGAGATGAGTTGGGATGGAATGAGATGGGGTGGGAGGGATGGGAAGGGGTGTGATGGTTTGGGATGGATGTGGGAGTAGGGCAAAGAGGGGCCCTGGAGCAGAGACCACCCAGAACAGCTCTGCCTTCAAATGGCCTCCAGCCCTGAGGGATCCAGCCCCATCCCCATGGCTCCCTGGGCCACCATCACCCCTGTCTGCCTTCCAGGCATCGACTGGGCCCCTGAGAGCAACCGGCTGGTGACATGCGGGACCGACCGCAATGCCTACGTCTGGACCCTGAAAGGCAACGTCTGGAAACCCACCCTGGTCATCCTGCGGATCAACCGGGCCGCCCGCTGCGTCAAGTGGTCCCCCAAAGAGAACAAGTTTGCCGTGGGCAGCGGCTCCCGGCTCATCTCCATCTGCTACTTTGAGCAGGAGAACGACTGGTGAGGATCTGCCGTGGGCTCGCTGGTCAGTCCTGGGGGAGAGGGAGGGGAGATGGCTGGATGGATGGATGCGGACATGGACAGATGGATGGATGGATGGATGGGGGGATGGACAGATGGATGGATGGATGGAGGGATGGATGGGAGGGAGAAG